TACTTATTATCGCTTCAAGGACTCAGTCCATACTCCCACTATGTTCTGAGAAAACGTTTCATGTCCTCATCTCCCTCTGCTATCTCTCTGTCTCTGTCTCTTTCTCTTTCTCTGTCTCTGTCTCTCTCTCTCTCTTTTTACACACATAAGATAAATTGTTTGGAGCAAACATCACACAGCATGAGGCATGCTTTCGACTGAGATATGCTGTTTATTTTCAAGGCAGAATGAGTTTCTCTTAATTTATAGGCAGTAAAGATAATTCAAAAGATTTAAAAGAACAAATAAATCCAACTCTCACTCTGTGCTCAGTAACCAGGAGAAGGCCAGAGAAAAGGGCAGACATCGACAGATTAAATATATTTACAGCGTGACTGTGGCCTCTCCCTAAGGAAATGAGAGCTGACCTGCTGACCGGAGAGGGATTTTATTTATTTGATCATTGGTGTGCTTCTTTGCTTTGCAGGGAAGCACCTAAATTTTCAAGTGGTCTAGATGTCAGAGTTACTAGGTCTTAACAGGAAACATATAACACTTATTGGAAATTGTTCCTTAGACATTTTTAGCAGAAATTAAAGTGCATATTTTAATGAAAACATGCCATTTCATTGCCTACAGAACCCATGGGTATAAACACTTCTCAGGGGCAAAACAGAGCAGGACTTCTGCTCAATGAGTAAATAGTGGTTGACTGGTTGATTAATACCCACGTATTTTAAATTCCTCAAGATTTAACACGATGATAAATTGGATTTGTTTAGACTTTTTCTTCACTCTACCAATTTTCAGGCATTCCTCACACACACTTGGGGATGTAAAGAGCCTCCCTTTACTCCCCCTGACTTTCCTGCCCATCAACCCTGAAGTCTCACGCAGCTAACTGAGTGATGCCTAATGTTTGTCTGATAGAACAGAAAGGAGTTCTGGAAGCTTTTGGTAAAGGTAGGCATCCCACTCCTCAGGAAAAAAACAAACAAACAAAACACAGCAAAAACTGTGTTTCTCTAACCAGAAGAGTCATAGTCATTCCATTTTGGAGATGCTTCTGTATAATTCAGAAAACCAGTGCATAGACAGCTCTTCCATCCGTCACTCCTGCTTCCTTGACTGAGCATGACCATGCTGGTGACTAGTGGAGTCACCTTGTGATTCTCTTCTGTAACTTAGCACTTGCTCCTCAGCATTAGTGTCTTGATAGCTGTCCCCTCAGTGTCTCCCGTTCCTCCTAAGGCAGAACATGCCTCATGCTCCCATGTGATCCCATGTCCCCATAACTAAGATGAGAGTTTTTGCCTGCCTCGCTGATTCTTGTCCTCTTGCGGCTTTTACGGTGTCCTTATTCTTGCTCTGTCCTCTTTGTTCTAGCTGCTAGGACACCCTTCTGCAGTAAGCTCATGCTCCTCTTCCCCTGGCTGGACTTGCTTCTGTCTTCCTTCTCTATCCATATATCCCAGTGTCCCCACTGACATTCCTCTCTCGTCCAACCTTATTCTCGCTGAAAACCAGCCTCTCATTCAGCCTCTTCTCGCGACTTCCCAGTCTTCCTGTTTCCTAAGTCCCCCCAACATGGTGAACTGAGCCGCTCAATTTAGCAACTGACTCAGTACAGCTCTGAATAGTTTCAGATGGGTCCATTTGTGTGATTCATGTCTTCCACTGTAAGATAAACCTTCTAAAGACAGGACGCTTATTTTTGGCTTCCATGTGTTTTGTGACTAGAGAAAAGGTTTAGGAGAGAATATATAACTCAAGTAGTATTTGTTGACATGGCTATGAGTTGGGGACAGAGCAGCCCTTTATAGAACTGTGATGATTAAATCAGTTATTTTATGAAAGTCTCCAAGCAATGTAGGTGCATAGTAAGCCTCCTGCTACCTACTCACAGTGCAGTAAAACTTTGGAGTCTCAATTTTCTGCAAAATAGAGGGACTAATGCTTGACAGAGTGGCTATAAAGGTTAAATGTCAAAAGAAAAAAAGTGAAGCCTCTTACATACTGTTTTACCAATGACTAGAGCCAATGGATTATAACAATGTTTCTTATTAATGAACTCGATTCTGTAAACGACTTGTACTTACCAAAGGAGCCTCTGAGCAGAGAGAGAGGAAGAACAGACTTACCATCTGCCCAGCTGGAGTGGTGTGGTATTGAGCTATCTGGAGGAGATTTACTTTATAGGGGGAAGGAAGCCTGTCTAGGCGGAAACAGCACATACTGGTTTGACTCTGGGTCCAACCAATACCCTGTTATAGGGGTCATTGTCACTCACAAATAATGGCCCAGGGATGGGAATCAGGCTTTTGTCTTTCTCAGGGTGATTCTCCAAGTAAAAGCATAAGGAATGGATCTGCCAATCCTGTGGCAACCAGGATATGAAGAGGCTCTGGGAACTCTAGGTGACATATTACTGACAGATGTGTGGTGCTGGCCGTGCGATTGCTGTGTTCTGAAAGCTGCACAGAGTAACAGCTCTACGGGGCGGCAGCTGCCATTATTCGGCGGTCTAGTCTCTACCTACTCCTCCCGATCCATTCTCTGCCCTTCTGTGGTCTACTCTGCACCATGGGAAGCTGGCTGTTTGGGGTGGCCATAGCCCTCCTTCCTTACACTGGATTCCAGTTGGATTAAGCCACGGGCGAGGGAGAGCTGCTAGCAGGAAACACCAGCTTCCTAGAACAGGCAGAAGAGCATCAGGGCTGAGCAACAGCAGTAGTAGTGTCCCCCCACCTCCACCCCACCCCACCCCTGCAGAAGGCACAGATGGCTATCACTGGCACACCTGCCCCTTCACAGACAAATCCATCCTTATCCTCCATTCCAGAAATGTCCCCTGAGCCTAGGAGCAACACTGGATGCTTTATGTCACCAGTTCTGGTGTGTGCTGTTGCTCACTGGTTTGCCCTGTCCTGCCCACAGTGGTGACAGTTTCTTTATTAGAGCCTCTCTAAGGATACAGCTGCATTGTGCTGGGATCCTGATGGCTGTGATTTTACAGACAACAGCCCTGGACTCTGGAAGAGTCCACCAAGAAAATGGAGTGGAGTTGGGTCTCAAACCAGATTTTCAAGCATCCTAGGGATGTTGAGATTTGCTTCTTTCCGCCAATGCAGATAATGGAGATAACCGAGAGGGAATCCAGAGACCTTTGGGAATGTCACAATATATTTTCACACCTGCCTGGTGACCTCCACAGGTCATTGTGGCCAATGCTCATTACTGCTGGCCCAGGCTGAATATAGATTTAGTAACTCTGCCAATCTCTTCCTTCTGTGAAAAAAAAAAGTGAGATGTCTCAGAAGAGGGGATTCTTGCTGTGCAAACCCGATGACCTAAGTTCTAGTCAGCTCCCACAGTGGAAGGAGAGAACAAATTCCTGACAGTTGTCCTCTGATCTACACACACACACACACACACACACACACACACACACACACACAATTTAAAAAATAAACTGTAGGAGCTAGAAGGATGGCTCAGCAGTTAAGAGCACTGACTGCTCTTCTGGAGGACCTAGTTCTAATTCCAAGAACCCACATGGGAGCTCACCACCATCTTTAACTCCAGTTCCACGGGCTCCTTCCTCTGGCCTCCATGGGCACCAGGCACACATGCAATGCACAGACATCCATGCAGGCAAACGCCCAGACATGTAAAACATTACTTTTTAAAACCTGTTTTTAAAAAGAAGAAAGTGCAAAACCTTTCACATGGTGTCCACTTGGAATCACTTGTGCTCACCTCAGTTCAGATTCTCCATCGGACCATAAATGCTCAAGAACAAGGGGGAAAAGGAAACATGCCAGACACATTAGGCCTATGACACCGAGACATGGCATGTGGTTGTTTCCTGTTTCTTGTGGTCTCTCTTTTCTCCTTCTAAGGATGAGGATACATCACAAAGTTCCTCATGAACTTAGGATGTGGGGGAATGGGCGTTTTGCTCCGTGTCTGGGCTAACATTTCTTGATTGGTAGAAAAAGCGAATGAGTGCTCACAATTGTCCTTCACATGCCTGCCATATCTTTTTGGTAGCTAAGAGGCTCTTCACACCATCACATTGTTCCTCCTCCAATCCGAGAAGATAAAGTTACTGGAAAAGTCACAACCGGATAAGTACTCACAAAGTCCCACGGAGATTAATACCCAATTCAGAACTTGCTGTAAACAAAACCAACCCTAAGAGAACAAAACCAACACTTGACCATAAGACTTTATCAGCTTGGAATGAATTTTTTTTTTTTTCCGTTTTCTTGTTTGAGACAGAAACAGTCCCGATATGTAGCCTAAGCTTGTCTCAAACTTCCAATCCTCCTGCCTCAGCCTCTTGAGTTCTGGGATTATAGGCACATTCCACCATCCAGTCTGGCATTTGGATCCTTTCCCCTTTAGTCCTTCAGAATTCATTGTTCTTATGAGAGAATTATTTAATTCATATGCAGTCCTTAAGGTCTGGGCTGTGCAGCCAGATAACCTGGATTTATTCTGGTTCGGTCACTCTCTGGGCTTGGGTTTTCCCAGGAGCTGATCCCGAGAAAAGTCTTTGGGTAAAAGCAGCTAATGTGAGAGGCTGTGGTAGGAAGCACCAGAAAGGAAATGAGGACATGCTATGGTAGTGGTAGCCAGTCAACACGGTGTGCCCTGAGAAGCATCCGTGGGAAAACTATGGAATACATGCACCCAAGGCTTGCCACCAAAGGGATGAGGAAGCTGCTGCTTATCTACCAGCTTTCATCTTCCTTAGGCTGGGGGCTGCTCCCTCGCCTGTGAACTCTCTAGAATTTGAGTGCTGTCTCCCTGTACACAAATGTTCTCCGGTGACTCTCAATGAGGAAAGAGAGGACTGGTGGCTGCATGAGACCGGAGGGAGCCACGAGGATATGGGAAGGACTGTCTACTACGGTCCACTCTTTTCACACTCCAGTCCACTCATACAACTGTCTTATCACTTCCTCAACCTGTCTAGTCAGATTTTTCAAAAGAAAGTAAAGATTTATAAAAGGCATGTATAATCTAAATGTGCCCCCACCAAACCAAAAAACACATGTTGGAAACATTCTATCCAGTGTAATGTTATTATGGGTGGGACCAACATATTGTGAGATTTCTTAGCCTCATGCTGTGTGAGCTGATTCTCATCACCAATTTCCTTTTATACCCCCCCCCTCTCTCTCTCTCTCTCTCACACACACACACACACACACACACACACACACACACACACACACTCACACACTTCTTTCTTTAGAGAACTCTAGTTCTTATATTGCCACAGACAACTCTATGGATATGCTTCTCTAAAGACAACATTCCAAGGCTTCCATTCCAACTCTTACAGGATTGACAATATTTTTTGTTTTTCAATTAAATTAGATTGAATTTTGAAGTGATATTTTTCTATTGCTTAGACTGGTTGTAAACTCCTAGGCTCAAGTGATCCTTCTACTTCAGTCTCCTGAGTGGCTAATATTGATAGGCATGGACCTTAGTGTCTGGGTAACAATTATAAACTTACACAAAGTAGTATTAAAATTCCCTCTGCAGGATTTACAACTGGAGGGCCAGTGATATAGTTCAGCACAAAACTGGAAGACAGACTAGGGAGAACCAGGGAGTGGGGTGTAAATGTTTGAGCCCCAAGGATCAAAACCAGGGGCTCTGATGTCCCACGAAGACAAACATGGCTGATCTAGTTCAAGAAGGGAGGGCAGACTGACTCTTCCTTTATTTCCATGTTCTGTTTAGGTTTCTGTATTCAAAGACAATTCCCACCCACGTGGTCAAGGACAATCTCCTTTATGAAGCCTGATGGATGCAGCACCGTCTTCTTTTGGAAACACTCTTGCAGAGACATCCGGAAACAGTGCTTTCCAGCTGACTAGCACTTAGCCCAGTCAGGCTTGCACCCAAAGTGAACCATCCCAGACCCCACTCACTCCTTGCTGCCGTTCTGGTCCCTCACCCTACCTAGCCTTGCAAACCTCTTGTCTCTTCGCCTTCAGTCGGTATCCGCGTCTCTGTTCAAATGGCCGTCTCCTCACTCTGGTAGCAGACTCTGTTCTTATGTATACACCCTGTGCTTGGTGTGATGCCTGGACATCTCTTGTGTCACCTTCTGTTGCCAGTTCTCTCTGGAGACGCCAACTTTGCCCTCTGATTTGAATTTGAATATTCTGGTTCCTTTCATGCCCAATCTTCTTCTCTTGCCCAACCTCCAACACTAGAACAAGAATTTTTCTGTCACATGAAAGAGCAAACAGAGTATAATTTAACAAGTAAACACGGACCAGCAGAATAATTTCTAACAAGAAGGAGGAGGAGGAAGTCATCAATTAAAAGAAGAGATAGGGATAGAGTGGTTGGTAATGTCACAAACAACTGTAACCACAACCACTAAGATTTGGTTCATCATTTACCATATTAACATACCACAGAAAGGGAAACCATACCTCAGGCTAACCAAAATATAAAGTCACAGTAGAAACTTGTTAGCTTGAAATATATTGTGAATCATGAAACCATAGGACGCAATGCAGAAAGCATGAGCCTAGGCTGGTGGCACATAATAGTGACACAGTATTTGTTGAATTACAGGAGAGTACTTATTTAACATTTTCAATCAAGCTGTATTGATAATATATAACATATTCATAATATGGTTCTGAATAAAAGACTACTTCCTGGGCCTCCCTTCATTATAGACCCTTCCAGGTCTAAAATTCTCATCCATGAACTGGGTTAAAGTTCATTTTTGTGCTATCTACAGAACAGGTATCTCCTTCAGTTATGGGCTCAAAAGGTCTCTCTGTCAGAGACTGCTTTCTTGGTAATTCTATATAAAATAGTGTCTCTGGCCCTCTCCTGTGGCTTTCTGTCCCCTCACTCTTCAGCACTTCTTTCTCATCTATTATAGCACTCTTGTGGATTTACTTATTATTTGTTTTCGTCTGCCTCCTGATACAAGGGTCCTAGTGCCCGAGAGCAGAGCTGCCACAGCTGGGTCACCAGCATCCAACACAACACCGACCTCCCAGATGGGGCTCGGTGTGTAGCTGCTACACAGGACTTAAACAAGCTGAAAGGGATACAAACTTGAGAAGAATGTGGACACTGTTTAAGAAAGCAAGCTTCCACATCTCCTGACCTTGTCTCAGAAGAGTTCATTGCTGTGGAATGAATGCAGCTAATTCTACCCCTCCCCCCATTTCCTTTCTTAAAAAACGAACTCCCCCAGGCAATGTTCTGCAATTCTGGTCCCAATTATCCTTCATCGTGAAGGTAATCCAACAAAGCACATTTCTAATAAGTCTTGTTCGTAAAATTCAGTTTTGCTTCTTCAGGCTGGCTGCGTCTAATTACGGTGCTCCAGACAATGGCCATTGGGTAGCAGAGAGTTCACTGTCACATGCCATGCTGCTAATCCACTGGAGGACATGCTTTAGGACACAGTGTTGTCTTCCATTCTGCAATGCGATGTTCCAAGCTTGAATCCTGGCTTTGCAACATTAGTTGCATGGTTTGGGACATGTTATCTGGCCTCTCCAGGCTGCCATTTCAGCACCTGTAAAATAGAGATAGTGATTATTCAAGTTTTTTTCCTACTTTTCTGGTTACCTTACATGTGTTGGAAGTTGACTCAGACCTCAGAGCCTTGGATCCTTGGACCAGGAAACCCTGGCGGGAGATCCAAAGGCAGAAGGAATAGGGTAGAAGTGGCTAGGCCTTACCCACTCCTGTACTCCAAGAGTGTTATAAGGCCTTCATTGTTTGTGGCTACAGTCTAAGTAGCCTCAGTGTCATGGCTAAGAATGGCACTTGCTTCTAATGACCCCATTCTCTCCTTTGGCCCTTTCAGACCTGAGGTGCTAAGAGTTTTCAGTTCCAACTAGTTCCAGATACACTGTGTTCCTTGGAGACTCTCCTGATCCTTTCCAAGCCTCTCAAAGTTATCTCACTAAAATTGTGACTGTCAATCCTTGGAGCCCTGGCTGTCAATCCTCGGCACCCATGCTTTCCACCACGCACGGAAGAGTTCCCAAAGTTGCATACATGCACAGTGGAAACTGAGCAGATGAACACATGGGAAGCAAATAGGATACTCCCAGGGACTTAATAAGCTCTCATCTCCTGTTAATTATTACCTACATTAAGTCAGTCAGTGGGGAAGAGTTATAAAAGACAGCATGTTAACATATGTGAAAACATTGCTCAGAATTGACAGGCTTTCTCTCTATGGAAAATGATTTGCTTTGAGCTTTGAGAAACTGGCACTGTCTGAAGTCTTTTCTGTAAGATCCCAGACAACTTGAGATATTTGACTTTGTCTTCTGTATATGGAGAGCAGCTTTCCTGCCATATCTCCTCAGTACCTGAAAATGTACACGGGCTCCAAGTTCATCTCCATCTCTCCTTTCTTGTGAGCTCATCCCCATTAAAAAATATGGGATAGTGATGGATAAGATCTTGCACAATATTACCATCCCGAGTCCCATGATCTTACCTGTTCCTAGCTGTACCTTCCAGACAATGCCATTTGAAGGGTCATCAGCCATTTCTCTAGGACTGGTGGGTGGCACTGACTCTGGTACTTGCTGGACTGTGTTCTAGAGTCTCATCACTGGGCATGCCAGAACGCTTTGCTGGAGCAACAGCTTCGTCCTCTACTGTTCTGAACTTGGCTTTCTCAGAGAGCGGTGGGCTCCTTTGCTTTTCCCCTCTTTGCCCTGTGAAGATGTGCTCTCCACCTCTGATAGTTCTTCCTTTTGGTGTCCTCTGCTGTCCACAAGCACGCTGAGCACCTACCAAATGAGATGAAGCAAGTAGACAGGCAAGGGACAGGGGTCAGGACAGTGTGGAAAACAAACAGATGCTGGACATTCCTATGGTCAGTGTGAGAATGACAGAGCATGTTGCATACTACAAGGACAGGGTCAACGCATACCACATGACAGCCTCTCACCCATGTGACTCAAATGGAGACCGTAAATGGAAACTCCCGAAAAGAAGTTATGTCTGATTGGTCAGGGCTGCAGTTCTATGGAGATGTTGGAATGTTGCGGTACCAAAGGCTAGTTTCCTTATCTTGGGCTAATTCTAGCCCTCTGGAGCAACCATTCCCTGCCCACCTCTGTGCCAGAGCCAGCATCCTGTGACTAATAGATTAAAAAAAAAAAACCTTTTAGAATCTATTAATTTAGCTTTCTCCAATCCAAAGGCTACGAATGTCATCAGACATCTGTGGCCTGGAGGAAATCTTCCCCCATCTTGCTGTAACCCCATCTCTGATGTGCCCACCAATGTATTTTAAACTGCCTTGATTTATGATTTACTTTGTTCTGTAAAACTACAGAAATTTAATAAAGCTGTTTCCAAAATGTGGAATTTAGGGTAACCTAAATCTGTGTTCCTGGGCCACCGTCACTCAACATGGCTGCAGAATAAACTATCACTTAGTCACTTTCAAGTGAGAACTGTGATTTTTACATTGACAGGAGCCACAGCCTGCCGCATGGAGACTAATGATGCTTAACAACCACCACTCCCCCTGGGTTTAATGTTCTTTAGTTGACCATCTCAAAATTTTCAGAGTTTTGAACACAGAAGTCTGACAGTCCAGTCTGTACTGAGCTCCACAAATGATATATATAGCCTGTCCAGCAGCAAGTCTTCAGTTTATTTCCCAAATTACTGATGCTGCTCTGTAAACAGACCATTTCTTCTTATATCGTTGAGATTCATCATCATTATGTGAAGACAACGAGGCTGCTAAAAGACAGCATGCAGCGTTGCAACTCTATTATTCAGCTAACAATTATCTGGTGACGGCTCCTATGTGTGAGGAGCTGTGCCAATAACTCTTTGAACCCAAATGTCCTGCTTTGCAGCTCCCAGATGAGCTGATCAGCATGTGACAGGATTGGAGTTGACCTTGCTGTGAACTGTTCAGTCAAATCTGTGGTATCTGAGTCTTGGGGAAAAAATGAGTTTCATATTTCATCACAGAACTGTGACTTGGATTTGGACGGTGAATCACACAAATTCAACCGGGGGGACAAGCAACGAAAATCCTCCAATTTGGATTTCAAAGTCAAGGAACAGCATGCCAATTTTCATCTGGTTTGAAGAGCAATGCTTCGGTTTTCCAGCTCCCCAGGTCTGTACTCTGGAAAATGCAAAGCACCCACCCCTTCCGAGTGGAGTCTTACACCCATGGGGTGCTTTGAGCATAACGTGTGGAAAGAGAGAAAACAGCACAGATTACATAGATTTGGCCATTTAAGGAGAAAAAAGAGTCGGCCAAGGATAAAGGAAGGCAGAACTGCTTCCCTCACAGCCTGATTTTAGACTAGTAATAAGGTGTCTCCCAGGCAGCAGGAAGGAACAGCATCAAGCCATGTCTCCTTGTTTCTCAGTGAGAGAGGAAAGGTACATATCCCCCCGGGAATCTCCTGTGTTTCTCTGAAATTAAATGTGAGTAACTGAGGGAGAATTTAGGAGCCTAGTTTCTTTGATGACGAATTTAGGAGCCTAGTTTCTTTGTGTGAATCATTAAATCAGGGGGCTTCTCTTACTCACCTTTACAGACACACACACACACACACACACACACACACACACACACACACACACACGAGAAGCCAATAAGCTCACCATTATGAAAACTAAGATATTTCTAAGCCTCAGTGAAGAAAGAAAAGTAGGGCAGATACGGAGGCAGAGAAGGAGGTAGTGAAGGTAGCGATTTGTACAAATAGTTGTAAAAGTCGAGAGGCTAGTGTTTGTCGATTATAGGACCCCAGGGTGGTTTGGCCAACTGCTTTTGGTCAAATACTTGACTCAGAGTTGGACTCCTTAGGAATTTAGGCTGGAACCCAAAGCAAGGGAAATGGGGTCATCTTTGTAAGTTCCAGCAAGCTGAGCTAAAACTGATAGGCACTGCCTTTTCTCCTTCACCTTGCTTTTGTTTTTGAGACCCTACTCTATATAGACCAGGCTGGCCTTGAACTCACAGAGATCTGCCTGCTTCAGCCTTCTAAGTGCTGGGATTAAAGGTGTGTGCCACCACATGTAGCTTCCCATTCATGTTGATTTTGATGTTTTCATAAAACTGAAAAGGTTTGAGGAAAGGAAATAGACACAGAATGTGCTATGTTCTGCACTTGAAATCCTTCAGAGTGTTCTGTCTACAGGGTAGGCAGAGGATAAGCAAACTCATGACTTTGCTTAACATAACTTTGGGGTATAGATGGTAGGAGGGAACAAAATGACCCAAGCTAGCACAGGTCACAGGGCATAGCCTTGGGAAATCCCAGAGACAGACAGGGTGGGGTGCTCTCATGAACCAAAGGTCAATGGCAAGTCAAAGGCAGACTCATCAACCAAGTTAATGGCCAAGTGATGATTAGTGTTAGAATTCTCTGACTTTAGTCTTGGGTTTCTATAATCTACAATGCAAGGTGGGTGTGACTACCTCATATGCTAATGAATCGTGATAATAGGGAGTGCTGTACAAATTTATTGAGTGGGTGTTGGTGAGTGGACATGTCTATTATGATTCATTTGTCTGTAATTTAAAAATATTAATTTGTTACTATAGGTTCATACTTCTCAAAGACTAGAGTGTTCCACATAAAGACTAGAGTGTTCCACCCTGTGTCAGAGGCCATGGATACCAAGTCTCTGTTGCTGTGGGAGGTACTTGCCCATGTCATCTCAGTGGGGTTTTTGTTGTTGTTGTTTTGTTTTTAACATACTTCATCTGTACAGTTTCTCCTTTTCCTTCCAAAGAACAGAGATCCTGTAAGAGTCCAAGCTAATACTCAGTTTCTTTGGAAGGACTGGCCAGCATGCCATCCCCTTCCCATCTACTCTCTCTCACCAACTTCCTTTCCAATGGTATCCATCTTCAGACTCTTTTCTGTTTTCCAACTTTCTCATTCTGATTGCCTCTCTATTTGGTATTGTCATCACATTCAATGGAGATGTTGTAGATTCAACTGAATAGTAATATCATATGAATATTCACATGTTGTATTTTCTGATAGATTTTATGTTTCAATCATGCTAATATTTCTATATATTTTGGAGCCACCTTCCTTTGTTGACATCCTGTGATATATATCTTGGTTTTTCTAAATTATATCTGAACTGCAGGGTGTGAGAGCTTTTAGCTTCTAGATATTCTGAAAGGAACTTCTCCCCCACCCCACAACAACCATAGCAATTGTTACATTTTAGAGAATTGTGAAAGAAACAGAACAATGGAAGTTTAAAGAAGTGAAGTTGTAGCCGGGAGGTGGTGGCACACGCCTTTAATCCCAGCACTTGGGAGGCAGAGCCAGGTGGATCTCTGTGAGTTCGAGGCCAGCCTGGTCTCCAAAGTGAGAAACCCTGTCTCAAAAAACCAAAAAAAAAAAAAAAAAAAAAAAAATTAAGTTGTGTTGTGTTGAAAAGTCTGTAGGAGCTTTTACCTAGAACAGTGGTTCTCAAATTGTGGGTTGTGACCCCTTAGGGTTGAACGACCCCCTTCACAATGGTTGCCTAAGACTATCAGAAACACAGATATTTATATTACAATTCATAACAGTAGCAAAATTACAGTTATGAAGTAGCAGTGAAAATAATTTTATGGGTGTGTGTGTGTGGGGGGGGGGAGTTACCACAACATGAGGAACTGTACTGAGGGTCATAGCATTAGGAAGGTTGAGAACCACTGACCCAGAACAAACTCAAATAGATCTTTAAAAGCATGTGGCATCCTATTAAGTCAAGAAGGAAGAGGATTTTAGGTAAAAGAAATGTTAATAAGGCAAGAGTCGGAAAGGTGTAAAGGATAAGGAGAACAGAAAGCAGGCTGGAGTAGTGATGTCCCCCTAAGCCAACAGAGGGAAGAGGATGAACAATCTATGATACCCTCTTTGGAGTCTGTCTTATAGGCTACATCAAGGGCATATGTGTCCTTTTACATTGCCTAGACAACTTTGGACAAAGTTTCAAAACCATTACACTCTGATAAGCCAAAGGGAGTGAGGTCACTTAAAAACGCAGAGATCAAAGGTGTGCGCCACCACC